TGTCATGGATATAAATGTAAATTCGACTTGACGATTTTTTTTCGCCCAAGCTTTCAGAAACAAATGTAGTATAAGTAAAATAAAAAGATCCAAGTTATATAGTATCAAGCAGATTTGTGTTAAATTTGAGCATTTTGAGCAAAAGTTGAAAGAGCCCATTAAGACTGTTGAAACAGTCAAGAACATGCGATAAAATGATATTTTACTATTGTAGACATCCCTAAGTGATATTTACCATGTGAAAAGAGAAAATTTTAAAGATTTGTTTCGTCCCAAGTTATTTAAAAAATATGCAGGGATTTATATTATAAAGTTCCATGGATGATTATCATTCAAATGTCAAGGAAAATTGACCAAGACCTTATGAGTATTGTCTACATCAATAAAAAAAATGATGAAGCTTTTGTAGATATGAAATAGGAAAAAATGTATGTATCTTACAGGAGGGACCACTTTAATGCAAACAATATCACAGATCCAAACTCTACTTCCCTGAAGTTAACTAAAATTGTCTAAGCTTAGTAGTACAGGATTAGGGGTAGTAGTACACACAATCTTTGGTTAGCAAGTTTATTTTTTTAATATTTTGTAAATATTATGGAGGCAACTATTAGCATTGTTTAGTAAGAGAAAGGAAAAACATTATCACAGGGAGCAAATCCTGTTTAAGGCACTTCGATTTGTGTCACTAGAACTACTTTGGCATTTGTGGGATCTTGCATGCTTGAAAATCTCCCATCTAGTTTTTGTCAAGACAAATGAAAATTTATCAAAAAGAGGACAAAAACATAGAAGATTATCACAGTAGTACAATCTACCCTATACTTCTCTTAACAAAATATACATTTACAAAATTATTAGTACCGAGATCATACATCTAAATTACCAATTACATTTTCATTTAATTTATATACATTATCCTAGAAAATATATCAAAGACCAAAATGATGTTCAACATCTGTCTTTGAATAAACAATTGTCATTGTAATAAGTAAAATCTGTTGTGTTATTAAATTTTAACACTTTTATATATATATACCCCTGCCCACTGGGCAAGATCAAGGCCTTGGCCAAATTGTAGGTTTCCAGTTAAAATCAAGATTGCAGTATAGATCACAAATCTGTTATAACTTGTAATACAACAATTTAGTGGATATTTGATGTTCTAACTAGATACGAGCATCAAGGTATAAAGTCCAATCTGGCCTGGATAGATACAGCATATAAACGAATCAACCGTCATGCTTGTTATTGAAATCAAACTACAGGCAGAGTATGCTGCAGGGTAACCGCAGGGTAAGTAGTGTTAGTAATAAACTGAGAAATACAACACACATACAAACAAGACTTTATTGCATAATACTGTTACGCAAAAAGTACAAAATGCAGTGTTATATGTAATGATGAATTAGTCGTCAAGTTAAGTAGACAAACAACCTACCCAAGGTGTCAACCATGGCCATTGATTCAGCTGTTACATTTCAATAAAGATTAATACTTAACAGAAATTTGGAGGATGTTATAATTTGTTTACTGAAAGTAAATTTCTGTCTGGAAAAGTTCATCAAATTTCACATACTTTTGAAATAAGATATGGCCATGTTGGAAACAAATCAAACACCTTTGGTGGTTTACTGGTCAAAAGACCAGATAGGTTACACCTGTGTGGAAATCAAAGTTACAGGCGTGCACTGAGGGGTCAACATGCAGGGCAGTTGGACACGCCCACTTCTCATAATACCAATCAAGATGTATAGGCCCCTTCTATTTTTCTCAGTTAATTCCCGGCAAAACAACCCCGCCCCCAACCACTGCAGATTTATCCGATCTAGTCATCTAACTTGTAACATTTCCCTTTTTATGTGGATACAAATAAACAAATCCTGACAAATCTGACCCCCAGCAAATTCCAATATCACACTAATCTCTCTGTATATACTATTTGTGAGGAATAAATCTGGTTTCCTCTATATAGGAGTATTTCTAAAAGGAAAGGTCAAAATCAGGAATAATAGATGTATAGATACTAATTCATAAGGAAATAAATGGAAAAACTGAGATTCATTTCAATTATGACTGAACTATAGCAGGTTAATACCAAATACACTCCAAACTAAACACGCGAGTAGAGCTGTCAGCTGATCCACTTTGGACACACCAACAGACTGGGAGGACATGGATGTATTATTATGCATTTTCTGTTGTTTGCACCAGCAAAAACAAAAAGGTATGATATATATATATAATAATTAGGGGTGGGAAGAAATCAAAATATCATGTTAATATTTACAAAAAAAAAAAAAAAAAAATCAACAGTAACAAAATAGTTGTCAATATACACAAAACAAACGCTAAGTAGCTACAAAGTTTTGGCCCAGTACACACACCTGCACAAGTTACTAGTGCACATGTTATCAGTGCATGCAAAGTTAATAAAGAGTAAAAGGCACTTGAGGTTTCTGTATCTACAACCTGCATCCAAAGTCTAACAAAATAATAAAATGAAATTAACTCAAAATAAACTTGAAACTTAAAAAAAAGACACTGATATATTTTAAATGAGCATATTTTCATGTTTTAAAATAAATTGCATAAACTGTCAAAAAACACCTTGCTTATATATTAATGGGAGTTCCTGTTCGGTGGTGAACTAATACAGAACATCTTAATATCAAAGAGTAGAAAAAAAACGATTATCATTTTGTTTAAATCCTAACACTTATCAATAAACTGCAACAGGTAAAATGAAAAGTATGAACACTATCTAGGTTGTTGATGAATTAAAAATTAAATTAGATCCTTGATGCATTTTGATTGGTTCATGATCTCGTCATTATCTGTTATTTATCCATCATCATCAACCTTTAAGTATTGAAATAAATATATTCTTAATAAGATCAATTTAAAATGTGTGCATATATTCTAAGGAACTCCCATTTCAATTATTATATTCGAGTATATACAGGTCTTGTAAAAAAAATAAACTATCCCATTTTTGTGCAATCTTTGGAAGACGATCCAAAATTGAAATATCAAAAAATCTCAATAATAAATTCTGCAACTATTCAGTGAATACTTGACAAATGCCTGCTACACATAGTAAGTATATATACCTGGAAGCCTAAGGATATGATCATTAATTGCATAGCTACTATTGTTCATTTCAACTTTTTTTTTCTTTTTTCTTCTCTCTCTCTCTCTTTTTTTTTTTTATACATTTGTCCATATTCTAATTAATGTATACTACATGAAGATTATGTACATGTTAAACAGACATGTTTATACAAATGTGATAAAACAGAACCCATCCAGTACGTAGGAGTTAACACAGTGCTATTCCCACTAATGCATAACACAAAAAAAATCAATATAAATGTATGTATACTAAGTACAATGCCTTCAGGTTTTGATCGCTTTCTCAGTATAATGATATAAAATATTGATATGTCTGAAATTGCAGGACAGATAAAAACATCTAGATTATAAAGATAGAAATAAGATCTATTCCAAGTATACCCTGTCATTAAGTCCTAACGATATGTACAACGAATATCATCTCAGTAAATACTAGTTCATCCTCGTATGGAATTTGACTGGCCACGTCCTCGTGATCTTAAATTCACTTATCTTATATAAAGCAAAATCTTCAAAATAAACGCTTCACAGATAAAATTCCACTGAAAATTTTGGTTTTATATAAGATAACATAGGTGCTGTTTTCAAGCAAAATTTACGACACATTTTAGGCTGAAGAAGTCAAAATCCACAGGAAGTGATTAGATAAGTGGGAATAACACTGTAATGTGATAGAAATAGAAAGCTGTGCTCATAAGCTCACAAGTAGGACAACAGTTACAGCAGTGGCAGCTCAAACATTCGTTACATTGAAAACTTCCCCAATTTGGACCTAAACTACTGACAAATTTATCGTGAAATTGTGTTAAGTTAATCAGAATGACAATGACTATAAGCAGTAACAACGATTCTGGGTTAACAATGAAGCACCAGTGGTAGATTGTCAGTTACCCATGTATTATTTCTAATTTGAAGGGAAGCAATCAAAATAACACCAGTTTTTGCCCGCAACAATGATTTTTCATACAAAGGTCAATTAATATTGAAAGAATATAAATTGTGGAGCTCTCAACATTGCATCTAAAATGAAGTTTGACCCATTGGTATTGACCCCAAAATGCATAACACATGGTGATATGAATATATGGTGAAAATTATCACAGGAAAAGTTCAGCTTGTCCAGTTTTCAAAATTTCGAAGCCAAATTCTACCAAGTGTTATACAAGAGGGTGGGTTCTTGTCTGATGGCCATGGGCAATCTCTCACATCTTCAGCCATCAAATGCACCAAGACTGAGATTTTAACTCCACATTTATACTCTAAATGACTGGAATTCATTCACAGCAATAACAACCACCACATCATCATACCAAACACCTTTTCTGATTTTTCATTTATCTTTTTTCCCCCCAATGTTGAAGGCCTTAAAATGAATATTGAGAGATAAATCTTTTTCTTGTTCATCAACTGCCAAGTACTTCCAATTGCAGTTATTATTGAACCCAATAATTAATAGTTGATCATGATTATCTGACTGAGGAAGCCTGTTTTACAAAAGTGTCTGGCATGATGCTAGAGCAAATCGATCTCTCTTACCTCTTACATACTGCAGCATTCAACAGGTGTTACTATCACACTACAGGAAGACACTCTCAATAACAGTCAATTGTATAGTGGTCGATTGCCTTGAAGGATATTTTTTTTCTTTTTTCTTTTTCAGATGATATATAAAATAAAATGTTTTGTTTTATTCTTAACTTTTAGATCAAACAGATTTAGATTTACTTTGGCAAAAATTTGTCCCCTTCATAAACAGAGAAAATTGGCCAGGGACATGAGTATAATAAGTACATATAACGACAGAGTGTTTCCAAAAACTGTACAAAAAAGCAAAAACAACATTAATCAAATTCTGATTCAACAAGGTTAATTTACATGTAAATGTATAAGATATATATGAATATATACTATATATAGACACGTCTTAAAGAAAAAATAGTGATTGGTAAATTTTTGTTGCAATATCTCTGTCTGCACACAATGCTATGTATTTGTTATGGTGGGATAATGACACAACAGTCAAAATTAGTACAAAGGAATTAGTCAACGAGTAATCTTCAGGCACTTAAGACATTTTGACAATTCAAAGTCAAAATTTTGTATACACAAGGACGGTGGGCTCTTTCATACAAACGTGTAAATAAAACACTATAATCACACTCGTATATAATCCATCTGCACTGATAAAAGATTGTTAATCGGCTCAGCCTCCGAGTCACTAGGCTGGTAGAAGGCAATGTTAGTGGATGTTGTTTGCAGAAGGCAGGGTACTGAATCAGTACGTCTGGAAGTAAGTAGTAGTAGTACTCCTATGTCCCACTGCCACGCGGTTACCAATGGAGCGTTAAGGTGGATGGTTCGTGATGCAACAAATACGGTTGTCGGTCCGTCTATAGTGGTGCAGTGTCGGCTACCCAACAAACCCCTCCAGTAGTACATGTGTTAGGTTTGGACTGACTGACCGACTGACCGATACGATGCAGAAGTAGTAGTAGCAGCAGCACAGCATGGATACGTACGGACAGGCAAGGGGTTCGACTTTAACTGTGACCAGGTATGAGTTAGTTGGTAGGCAGCTGAAGGTTTAGTGAAAAATAAAAAGAAAAAAGAAGAAATGTTAGTTTATACTGCTACCATAAATATTGTCTCTGTATGCATTCAATATGAAAAATTAATTACAGAAATTATTATTATTATGATTATTAATTCTGACTGGTAATAATAATGTTTGTTACCCAAATAACAGTGACACTACTACACAGTTTGCAGATTAAAGTGTGCTTTACAGGTGAGAGTAAAAACCTCATGCTTTAAAAAGATTATAAACTCATGCCGAACCCACAACTCAGGGCATATGTTTTGTAAGATAGAAGGGGAAGGAATGGTGTACAGATAAAAGCATATGTCAAAGGTCAAGCAGCCATTGACCAATCAACGACCTGATTAATGAACAATGATTAATATATAACTGTATACCAATTACATTAAGATAGCACACCTTTAATCCTCAAAATGTTAGTACATGTATTGTCATATTAGTTTAAAGAATACAATCTGGTATAACCAAGCCTACATGTAAAAGATATAATATGTCCAAGAGGACAGCAAGTCTAAAAGTAACACTGTGCAATACTACTTTGATAGCTTGTACCTAACACAAAACAAAGGTTAACACCATCTTCAAATGAACCTTGCTAATCTGGACAACTGAACTGTCAGCAGAAACTTGTGACAACTGTCCAGATTAACAACATGTTCCAAAACCTTTCCAACTCTTTCCAAGTTTCTCCAAACTCATATTGCGTATATGGAAAACTGAACTTGTGAAAAACTGTCACCATTAACAGAGACTTATGATACTACAGTAAAGAGTTGAAAAAGTTGAAGACGTAAATATAGCGACTAGAATAAGGCAAAGGAACACCTCCTTCAGTATTATAAAGCTTGATTCCAGCTACAATGGTTGTACATCCCTTCCTTCCCATCCCACGTCCCTATATTGTTGTTTACAGCTTCCAGTCTCCCTAGTATGTCCGAATTACATACAACACTTTATTGGCAAGTATTATACATTTGATAACTGTAAATGTACTTGATGTCTTTGGGAGGAGAAAACATTACAGCAATCACTTCATACAGAATTTACAAAACAGCTATCAAATTTATCTTTTGTGCAAATTATTTTTATAAGCAGATTAATTTTTGTGTAGATGTACCATATTCTTCATGTTGAAAAGAAGCAGATTTACAGTTAAAACAACAAAAATCATCAATATGAAATGAAAATCAACACTGTTGTTGCTCAACTGATGTGCTTTTATTCCTAAACATACTTAAAATATAACAACAATTGCACGTGTCTCTCTTCACACGGTTTTCATTGTAAAAGTTGGAAGAAAATGTTGATATTGTATATATATAGATAACAACTGTGGATATCTAAAGTAACAAGGGACATACAATAAAACACAGGCTTCATCCACCTAAAGAAACTGATGATTGTACTTGCATGGACTTTGCACAAATATCCCGAGGAAAAAACACTTAAGGCATTAATTAAGCAATCAACACTTACTTGCAGTAAATTACCATAAGATAGGTCCTATCAAATGTATGTAAAGTTGAAACAAATTTACCATTACCAGATTTGCACATCCGTTTCAAAGCACTATAAACTAAGGACATTATAAAATCATGTAGGTCTCAATCTAAACCTTCTTATCTGAATCCACAACTAACAAATTTGGTGACATTTTTGCAGGAATGCAATCACCAGTAGAGAGCCTTTTGCTGAGTTTGGGCTTTGTACACAAATTCTTATATTACAAATGAGATTTGAATATTGCTAGGAATTTCATTTTTTCTTTTTTCCCTTTTTTTCTTCATTTCTTCATTTTTTTTTTGTATTGGATTAATACCAAATCAATATAATGAGTACCTATCTAGACATCTATGAAAAGCCAAAATTTCCCTCAATAAGTTGATAAAAAGGACCGATAGGGTTGTTTATATTTTGTCAGTTAATTCAACCATAATACAAATTCACAATTGATTTTATATGATAAACTAAATATGACAAATTGAGATGAAAATAATTTAAACTGACAGGAAAAATTTTGGCAAAATGAATTTTGTACTGATTTTAAGAACTTTGCTGTAGTTTTCTTGATCGTCAACATTGAAACCATTCGCTAACAAAATAAGGAAATACAATGTAAATCAAACATAACATCCTGAGTATTGATTCTAATGTTTGCAGTCAAGTTATTGTAAATATATGTATATAACTCATTGAAAACTAACAAATTCATCTTAAAAAAAAACATGCTAAACAAAAGAAAAAAAATGAAAAAATCTGTAATTTATATGCAGACATGATGGGAGATGAATTGGGTAAAGAAAATAATTTTGAAATCAAATGTGACCCTCACCAACCAATGGCTGGGGTATGTTGGGATTCAGTGCCAACACTATTACATTATATGTAGTTGTGATCATGAGACTAAACACTACGATCATGTGACATCAGCTCTACAAGGAAAACACCTGCCTTTTAGGCACATCAAAATAAAAAAACTTAAATAATTATGCACAACCATCCAAATATTGGACAGGTAAAATTTGATTTTTGTCTTCATGTAAAATATAAATAACTTTGATCAAGGGTATAAAAAGAGCACATATGTATGTAAAACATATACAGAGCATTTTGTCAATGGTGATGGTTCATCAAAGTCTGCAAACAAAAGATTCTTGTATTTTCATTGACGTTGAATGGCACTAATCTCAATTTACAGCAGAATTAATTGATAAACGAAATTATGATTTTTTGTTTTCACAAATTTCATTCATACTGCATGGTTTTGAAACCAGCTGTCCTAATTCTTCACAAAAAAAGGATACTGATATTGATTGCAAAAGCCATTACAAACATGTAGCATGATTTGTGCCAGGTTATTTAAATACAAAGTTTCTTTGTTTACATCTGTGGTAACCATAACCTTTGAAAAGAAATGCAACTCCACTAAAGTAAAACATTTCAAACAAAATAGAAGTAATAATTGGGACTAACCTTCCAAATTTATGGAAGAGAAACCCTTGCGTAAGGGTGTGCTCTCATTCCCTCGAGTGTTCTCCTGATTTTAGGCACTGCACCTACAATAGCCCAAGACATTTAGATATTGGCCTTGACAAATACAAAAAAAAAATGTATATAAGAGAGTTTCTCTCTCCATGTTTTTTGACTTGGCTGATAATGTTTGCTTTCATTCACAAATCCTCAGATGGCTTGACCCTTGACCTGCCCTGATCTATATATCCTGGCATTTATAATGAGCAAGATTTGATCAGAGCCACCAAATTTAAATAGGTTAATTCTTCTAAAGTTAATTCTACTTGTACAAAATCTTTGGCACTTTGTCTTGAGGGCTTAATTATAAATATTCAATAAATGTTACTTACAGTGTTGTGTTTACTATAATACTGATTTGAATATCAATCTAGGATATAATTATTTAAGGTACTTAAATGTAACATATCTTATTTCTATTTAGTACGATACAAATTAAATTTGGGAAAAGGATGCATTTTTTTGCTTTATTAACTCTTCCGAGTATACTTAGTTACTGACAGCTTAATGAAACCTTAAAGAGAGGAGGATGATTTACCACTGTTTTAGTCTATATACCTGTAGTATAAAGCAGGATTACACACGGAATGTGCCTGAAGCCTTCTTATTAAATATAATCTGAATAATGAATACACTAAGAAAGCACCTGCTCAGGCAGGTAATTAATTACTGAAGCAGAATTATCAGCCCAGTTCACCCTCCCAAAAAAGCTACACTGACCAGAACAGTCTGGATATTCAAAGCTTTTGTCTCTTTGGATGTAAAACAAAGCCAATTGAAATTAAGGCAGTAGTTGAAAAAGATTTGATAGATTTCATTCAGCTGTCATTACTCATGCCAAGCTTACAGGAATGCCTTAGGCCAAATTAGCAGAAGATTAAGAGAATGTTATTGTTACATGATTTGAGGTTTTCTGTTTAAACCGCTACCATAGGGATATACTTCTGTAATGTCTTGGCACGTTAACATCCAATCCCTATTATGTTAAGAATTAAGAGAGGAATATGAAAGGATAGAAAGCAAACACTATCGTTGAAGTCCAATGGCACCAGTCAACCACACCTCCTGGTTTATCTAATATAACTCAATTCTCAGCATCCACAACATCATGCTATGGCGTGTGTAATGTACAATATTTATATATTAACTTTCAGCGTGAAAGACAACTGGTTCATATTAAAGCAAAATTCAGCACATTCTATTTGTGCTTGAAATATATCTTTTTTTGAAATCTTGCAAAAAATATTTGTGTTAATTTAAATGGTTAGAATGTGAGGTTAATCTATTAGTTAACAAATAGGATTAACTTTTATTCATTATATAAAAAAATTCCTTACAAATAAAGATAGAAAAATATAAATTATTATTAAAATTGCAAACTTGAAATTAAATTAACAAAAATCCAAACTTTTCTTAGCAATAAATCTAAAAATACTACATGTATCTAGTGCTGTTATAACCAGGAGATGTCACGACAAAAGATCGAAAAAATCCGACCAAGGAAAAAACACAAGCTGAAATTAATACATATTATTGGATTATTAACAATTCATAAGAGTGCTTAAATTCATGGGAAATATTTTGACAAAAGCAAACACAGCTATATTAAATTCAATAATATACGTAGTAATTGGTTTGGGTTTGGGTAGCGTTTTTTTTTTGTCTTTTTATGTGTAAATCCATCACCAAACATCAGATTATTTTAAGAAACAAATGAAAATTATGTTTTGTTTATTTCAACAAAAAACTATTAAATGGTGAAAGTAGAGGCACACAAGTGAAATATCTACAGAGACGACTACCTCCACTTTACAAAGCATAGGGATGCATGTTTAGGCCAAGATTGGGCCACTCCAGTTTTGATTGGTTATGCTTTGCCTGTGGGGAGAAAAAGAGATAATGTGTTGGTTGGTAGGCGAACCGGTATGATCAACACAGAGGATTAATGTGAAACGATATTTAAATGATTACAAATATCATCTTTTAAGTCAACTGTTCTCCACTGATAAGAAAGGAGTGCTACACAAATAATAGGATTACAACTCTAGTACATCTGTTTGTTACGTACCGCTTGTTATTTTTATATACAAATATTTCAGCATCCCTTTGTAAAGGAATATATATGGAATGCTTGCATAGCAGAATCACAGAGCGAAGACTTTCTTCTTTTGAAGATATTGTCATAGAGTTTTTATTTCCTCCTAGTTAGTGTTACTCTATTTGATATGGAATGCACTATGACTTCCGTTAGTAGGAGAATTAGACCTATTTAAGATACAGACTAGTAGATTCATCATAATGACATTTATAAAATGATTATCTTCTCACAAAAAAAAAAAAAAAAAAAGACAAAATGCTTAATTTTTTAAAACGTCATGCGGAGTAACTTTTTTTCTGCTGATAATTTGAATAAGGATGCGGTGAAGTAATTATACAAGCATTAAGATAGAAAGCAATAACTCTACAACGTTTTTCCATGTTCTCCATTTGTGGGACTTTTGCTTTGGGTATATCATACATACCATGCCTCTCCTATATTATGATTAGCATGTAAAGTGGAAAAGAATGCTACATTACATATATGGAGGACGCGTTACTGCATTTCTACAACAATTCTATGGGACTTTTATCTGATTCATTGAAAAACTTAATAGTGGTATTTACAACAGATGCAAGCTACTTACATAATCTAACACAACTATGAGTTTGGAATGTCAAGGTATTACATAATGTGAACAAAAAACATAAATTTGTGTAAAATATGGGAATAGATTCCAAAAGTAAATTGAGGAAGTTTTTTTTTACATAATTTACAAACATGAAGGATTATGAAGTTTATGTGTAAATAAAGTTAAGAATTCAAGTTTTAAAAAATCAAATGTATATGAATAAAATAATAAAATGACAACTTAATTTTAACTACAAAAGGCTATTCCAGAAATAATATGGTGGATAGGTAGGGTGTTTTGCTGTATCAAACTTTTGTGACCCTTTACTCCAAAAAATTGTATTTTTATCCCAAGGTCCACTATAAACAAGCATTACCTAAGCACACAGATGTCACGAATTAAGAACTCCCTTTAATAAACCCTTACTAAATTCATATCTGGAATAGCCCCATATATGGTTTCTTCATAACAGGTGGATTTCATTCATGTTCATACGATAAAAATAGCATTCCATGTATATGAAAAATGATAAAATATCAACATATATATATACATATGTATACATACATATATATATATAGACAAAATAATGATTGTGTAATTCATAAAATGATATTCTTAGTTCCTAAGCCACTCGATGACAACATCTATCGCACTATGGGAAACATACCAATGTTGGCTTGGTCAAATGAGGAGGGATATTCAATGAGGGCTGCTGCTTGGTGAAAGGCGGCCGCAGAGTAGGGACTGTACTCGTAGGGGTTATACACCAGACCAGTGGCGGCCTCTGTTGGTGACACCAGTGGTGGGGGACCATTCACTATACCAGCCTGACTCGTCGGGATCCTAGGCGTCAGGATGATGGGGGCACCTTGTGGCGTTTGCGTGCGTAGATTGGGAATGTGTGATAACTGTTGTGCTGTTGTGATTAGTCTTGGTGCTTCTGTAAGTAAAATTCAGAGACACGTTATGAAATGGCAGAACTTGACCTTCTCTATGTCAACATTAATCATCTCCCAAGGTATATCTATAACCATACTAGACATCAAATATAAAATTCATAAGCAGAGATTACTTAAAACAGCTTCATACCTTGTTGTAACTGCAAACAATGGATGGGTACACATTTTCAATTTGCATATATATATATATAAAGATATATGCTTGAAATCAAGTTTTCATAGAATTTGAATATTGTGCTAAAATTGTGTATAAATTAATTTCTGCCAATAGGAATGCCTGTTATAGAGAAAGGATGAGGTTTTTTGATAGGATAGTTTTGATAAACCAACCTCCTTGTCCAACTGACGTTGAAACTCCTACACCTTGAATATTTGCAAGATCCCAGGGTCTTTTCATACCAGCTTAAAGTGAAAAGGCAAAAGTTTGTCAAACAGTGTATTCGACATTAAAGTCTACCAGATCCAATATATAGGGTTGAATATTACACATACAGGAGCATTGAAAATGTGTGCCCATACATGTAAACAGGAGATGATCACTGCACCAAAGTAACACACATATATGTGGCACAAATATTACAAGCATGTCTATCAAACACCAATGTAAACCAGGGTTAGTACAGCTCACTATGTCAGACATATCCTACCCTACATATCTATCATACACACATTACCAGACCAAAATATATTCATATTTGTTTAACTAAAATAAGGATTGCAAAATACTGAAGTTTCCAAAATAAAACTGAACACAATGAAATATTCAATTATTTTTTTATAAAATTACCTGCTGCAGTATGTGTTATTGAAGGCTAACCCTACTATGCTTTACAGATAAACCCTCACACAGAATTGTCTGTATGCAAAGTTATTCATACTGATCTAATTTTGTATCTTGTCAATCAATCAAATATGCTAAAAAATGTTAATCACTATGACTTAACATACCAAGTAAAATTTAACATACAAAATACTCCATCAAAATCATACTTTATCTTTCTGTATCTAACTTCTGCTGAGATGAAAGAAGCTTGCTGCAAGCACTCACAAGATAAGTTATGTTATAGAAACATTTATACAAGAACATTAAATAAAGGCAGAAATCTCCTCCTAAGTCAAACATAAAGCTATGTTTTCCTATCAGATATTCTGTTAACTAAGACCTGAAGAATAAGAAAATGAATACCACAAAAGCTACCATAGCCTTACACACCTCTTTGTTTTCATAACATTACCTACATTTTAAGGGAAATGAAATTATATCATTTTTTTTCGTTCTTTTTTATAGAAGCTATATTTATAAGAACATAAAATTTGTACACAAAGACATATTCCAGATTCTTTTCAAGTGCTTTTTCTTCATGGAAGAAAATTCAGAAAATTTCTAATTAGAACTAAACAGTTCAAGATTTCCATGTGGGTGGCTACATTACAACCAACAATCAGGCAGACTTAACTTTTTTGAACAGAAGCATTTTGATTAGTAATACAAATACACATGAACTATGTGATGCTAATTTAGGTAGCGTTTGTGGTTTGATTAGCAAAATACATGTAAATTAAACATGTGTACTGTGGTATACAAAATTGGTAAAGCAAACAAAATCCGTTCCAAGACAACAGGTCAAAAGATGTTTCATCTGGCTCAAGAAAAGTCATGCACAAAAACCGTTCCAATACTGTAAGAAAAAGTCAGCCATTTCACCCATGCACTCTAGGGCCTTGACCTCCAGTTCCCTCCAACACACACCCACATGCAGATGGAATGAGCTTGAATTGAGGGTTACTAATCAATGAATAATCCTATCCAATGAAAACACCCAAGAATCATATTGCTACAGATGTTATCTAGTCAGTAACCTTGGAGACTGGTAGTGCGATTGATATTTGACAACTCAGGTGTAAAACAAAGAATATATAGAGGATTCTCTTCCAATTCCAGTCAATTACAGGATGAAAAACAGGAAATAGGTGTGTGACACAAAACAAAAAAGTATTTGTTAGAGTGTATTTTTTACTATTCATTTAAAAATTACACAGGTAAATTAAAAATATTGAGAAATACACTGCTGCACATTACTGATGTTCATACTTGTTTATAAACAAATGTTGTTACAGCAAAAAAGATGGCATTATAAATAAGGCCAAAGGTGAATAACTTGTTTATGTGCAGTATACATTAAATCTTCAGTGCATTTCTGTTCAAAAGTTGTTAACAAAGCCGTCTAGTCTAGCTGGAATAACTTGAAAATAAATTTCTAATCTCCATGTTAGCAAATATATATGAAAATATGTGTAAAAAAAATAGACCATTAGGAGTTCTAAGTACCAGGTTTTAGGAAGTGATGAAATCCAAATATCTATTTTAAATGAGTGAGGTGGCTGTTACAGGGAGAGGTGAGGAGAGATGATGATGATGATGATGATGATGATGAGGATGATGATGATGAGGATGATGATAAGCAGTGAAGACAACACACCCCTAAATCTATACTGGAAGCAGCACTATACGGTCCCCAACAATGGGCAGTCTGATCCAATCTACCCCAATGTAAGCAAGGGTGGGTTCATGCATCTACCACTCGACCAAGAGTAAATGACACAGAAAATAAAAACGGGTGTGTGGATATTAAAATTCCTCTTGCCAAAAGGATGCAAAGATAAATAAAAGATGTAGCAATACAGGTAAAAAAAGAGGAAAGCTAAACACCGCACACTGGCATAGATAGGGTTGGCTGCTGGTATATGGTGACCCACAGGAGGTGTCACCGTGACTTACGAGTCGTTGATGTTTGGGAGTTCGATGAAGGTGAGGGTTTAGAAGTGTCACGGTATGTGCCATTTATGATAGCTAACTCCATAAGTTGGCGTTTCTTTAAGTCATCCTCGCCATCCGGCTGCAACAAATCAACAACACCCGTCAAACATGAAATTGTTAATGGTCAACAAAACCACCCTGTTCGTCATTGGTTAGTCGTCATGGCGATCAGGGGGTGAAAAGAAACTTACGGGCAAGCCCTGTGGGTGAGAACCCTGGGGGAGCAACAACTTTAGAGTCTCTGTAAGTTCCATTCAAAATAGCAAGTTCCATCAATTGCATTTTCTTCAAATCATCTTCTCCTTCTGCCTGTAAACATAATGGCATTCACATCATGGGTTAAAGTACAGAAAGTTATCTCCCTTGTCAATGAAATTTTCCTCTGAAATTTGGTTGCAATGGAGATTCACAGTATCATATTGACCTTCCTTTAGTTAAAACAAACTCCACCCTAATTCTGAAATTTACAACCCTCAATCACAGCTATGCATTACTCGTGGGTATCATTCATAGTAAAAACATATTGTAAATATATTCTTATCAAAAAATCTTTTAATCTCCGCGTCGCAGCAGCTTCATGTCAGTGATATATCCTCTTTTTGGATCTTAGTTTGGTTACATTACTAATACTGTTGTAAAAACAAAGTATATGACCCAGTAATGCACTTTCTATTGCATTTCCCATCCCAATTACCTGCACCAATGATATGCCATAGGCTCAGTACAATATATTGTCTAAAACCTTGAAGTCTATTTGTAGTAAATATCTTCACCATGTAAGTACCTTAAAGCTATAGATTGGCTGCCTAGTCAATAGCATTTGTAATAGAAGTTTACATAATGTATTTAGCTGTAATGACTTCTAAACAAGATATGCGAGAAAATATTCTATAATCGTCACTATGTAGAGATAATTATGGAGGGAGTTAAGCATTAAGATATCAACAGGCAACAAAATTTCAATACAATCATTCTTGCTTCGGATTTCAATTTTCTATGTAGAAGCAATCAGTACACAAAGCTAGAAGTTCAGTGGTACAAACATTATCTGTAGCTAGAATTTGATCAATCACCAAATATTACATACTAAGAGGTTGCCTAGAGCTAATGGAAGATTGCTTACAAGTTTTCTCTCCGATTATGTGTAATTAATCAAGGATTGTAGAGACTGTTGTCTGTACTCTGTACTATAGTCAACTTATTCTGACATTACCATATTAGGACATTTCTTGTCTAGACGATGTTTAAATGGGACAGGAAAGCAAACTCCGAGTTGCATCTGTACATATATACAGAGAGTGGACCATTAACTAAACTAACACAGCGAAACATGAAATTAGCTCTACATTATTGTATTTTTACTCCTTTCTATGGAGATCTGAGGAAGAAAAAAGGATTTATCTGAAATTGGATTTACAAGAAAATTTAAGTCCTTTGTCAATTATTGATGTGCATCTGAATGTCTGTTTATAATCTTTTCTGACACAATTGCAATAATAGGAACTGTTAATATTATCAGTTGAAAAACCATGCCAACACATGTATGTAAGGGGCCACTTTTTTTGTAATAGTCTAAAGCTTTCATCCATAAATCACACTGTGACATCATCTCCATTACCAAATTTAATCTCTTAGCAATTTCTCACTTAAATTTAAGTCATTTGTTGTAAGCGGCCTGTGTTCCAGTCTAAAAGCTATAGGTAAAGCAGTCAAGCGATCCACAGACATAGGTAAGTCATCATTATCTTTGCCACGTTGAACACTTTCTGCCACAGGCCTTGAATTATGAAAATTGAGCAACAAAGCATTGCAACAATTCCCCTCAACAGTTCAACAGTAGCTTTGGGGCTGAATATTTTTGGTGTTTGTTAAGAAAAGTTGTATGGGTTTATTCATGCGGGCCTTAAGCTATGTGGCTGAATGACTAGGTTGATACCATAATTGGTTGGTCTCTGGTATAGAGACCAGTACAAAAGAGTGTGTATAAACAGCTCAGAGACCACAGGTACACCAAACAATGACAACTCAAAACCCAAGCTTTATCCTACACAAACATGGCACCCTTGTTTTTCTCCCTACTTAGAGTATTTATTTTAAATAATACTAATGTATGGAGTTGTAAAACTACTAATACTAAAACTTGGTGTATCACTTAGTACTTTTACCAACGTAACTTATGGGGCAATGTCAAGTACCTCAGTTGTCTGAACATGACACATTGCTGCTCAAAATAAGAAAGAAAAATAAAACCACCAATTCAATACCATCCAAACCATAATGCTCAGATATACATATGCTTGCCGAAAAGTTCTTAACAGTGTTTACCGGCCCAAACAAAGCAGCAAATGTCCAAATAATCAATTTCATAATTTAATTCGCTATTAACATTATTCAAGTTGCATCAAATTGATGTTAATTAAGATCTCCTATCCACCACTCCATCCCCAAGATATTAATGGCAGCCATTTTTGTTCTCACCCCAACCCCCATCTATTTGTTATATGGAACTTTGGTATCCATCCACACGCCTATTGGTTAAGTATCATTCAACATCTAAGTATGAAAATTAAGAAATGTCAATTCAATTTCCTACAATATAAAGTAACTGCATCTATCCAACTTTTTTTTTCTAATTTCACCAACAAATGGAAAACACTTCAAATAATAACCTTAAAATTGAATTTGAATGGTTCTTCAAATATTCTGATTTCATTTAAACTGATAAATAGTTCTTTTAAAAACAAGCTATTTATGTAACTGAAGTTACAATACAACTGTAAGCTAAGAAGTATTTATAGAAAGATTTCTGCTGGAAGTCAGCTTTATCAACATCCAACATTTATACGTATACATTTTTATCAATAAAAATAAAACTGCATAATTAAATTATGAAATTGCCTCCTAGCCAACAAATCCAATTTCAAATCTTGAAATTGTTTAAGATGTTTTTACAAGATAAATTTGAATGACTTACTGCACGTACCATTCCCGTACAAATATGTTATTACTTTCAATGACAAACTTCTAATACCCAAGCTTCCATTTTATATAATGTGCCAGCAAATCTCTTTCAGTCTAAAATAGAATCGTGTACAAGACTCTGTATTTTATATTGCCTCTCCATACACAAAATTATTCCTAATCCACCAACGTTTTAAGTGTAGGCCATTTAATGATTTTCCCAATTGAGACTGACAAGATAAAAGATATAAAACAGCTCTTGTGTTTAGACCTATTCACATCAGAGAGCTCCCAGCGTTTCCACTATCTTCAACATCACACTGATGCAGGAGAACTGGCCAGAGAGGTACATAGATATTTAAAATATTGTCAGAACTAATCAGGTCACTGCTGACAGAAATGTTACCTTAGTCGTGGATATTATTATATAGGACAGGAGGGCAGGCATGCTTGGTACTAAAGCAATAGTACAATAGATACTGAAGGAAAACAATACCCTGCCTGTGTGTAGAGGGCCTTGCCAGCAGCCTATACAGAAACTGGCAGAGGGGCAAATAAATTAACTCAGCATGAAAACCATGCCACTGCTAGTTTTCATACAGATGAACTTACACAGGAGCTGAAAGGATCATGTTTCAGTTTTCACCACGGCTTATCTTCTGTCTGGTGTACTGATCTGGGAGCCCAAACTTTAAGCCACCATTCCCTTATGTATCTATAGCACAAAATTGCGCTTTTGTGGGAATGCACTATATAAACGTTTGTGACAAGCAATTTGTTATGAAAAACAGATACAATGTTTTGCAGCTGCACATTTCATATACTAGGTCTTAGAAGGTGTGGTTTTCCCTTACGCATTGGTATTCCTGACTCATCTGCAACGGGACATTTAGACCTCCACAGATATATACGTCAGTTATCTTCAAGATAAAATGTTTGTTAAAATGAAAATGTATATTGGAGCCATGCAAGACAAGAATTAGTCCACAACTAACATAGGAATAACTTCAATGCTCTTCAACAGAGAGTCGCTGACCGTGGATTTACTTGTAACTACCAATTAAGATTCCCATTTGTGATAATCTAACTCGACAAGAAAAATTGTTTATGATGCCCGTACCCTGTGAACTTTCGCTTTAATAATGTAAAATGACAAAATGTAAAAAATATTACATTCTCCTGCTTTCTTCATGTGAAGACTTTGGAGTTATTAGTATCCCCATTGGAATATGTCAGAATATTTTTCATATACATTGTCCTCAAGACTGATGGAAAGCATCATGAATTTGGCATTGCTGTGTATCAAATTTGTTATATATTGCCAAAAAAAATCTGTGTAGTCAAGCCGCATTATTAATAAAGCAGTTTTTTTAACGATTCCAAAAACTTTTATTGGCATCTTGACAGAACGATAAGGGATGGTTTATATGAACTTTGATATATTTCCAAGTATCATAAGGGTAGGATAGGCTCTATGCTAACAGCATTTTTTTTTCTATTTTGAGATGTATTCAGAGAGTATTTGTACAATGACACTACACTATACAATACATTTGTATTATGATTTTACAGAAGCTCCTATACAAACTGGTGTTGTAGAGAATTCCTAAACCCAACAAATTAGCTAAGCTTGTGGAAATACCAGACAACTTTTCACAACAAGAGAAATTCTCTTTGAGGACCGGGTAATGACAGAATAAATACATTCTTACGGAACAAGTGTTTTTGTAAAGGGACACGCACGTAAGCCGTTCAAATCCTCTCAACAACCCTTTCACTATATCTCTACAGAGTTACAACAGCATAGCAGATACGCTATTTAAATTTCTTGTTTTTACATGTAATTGAGATAAAAAAGGAAATCACAGATATTTCATATAAATTTAGATTCTATTTCTACTTTGTGATTTTAATGAAACAAGGAAAACTCTTCCCATGTGGTGTTCCTTTCTATATAGAATTCATGTATAAGCATGTAAGTTTTGCCCATACAAGATTTCATGGCCAATATTTACCATTTATCATTCTGATTATAATTATACACTAGACTATTTTTACATATATAATCTGATAGGAATCATGTCCTTCTCTCTATTTTATACACCAATTATATAGATCAAGTTCTGTCCTAAAATAAGGTACACTGAATTACTTCAAAACTTCCCTTTACTCTTCTCTCCCCATGATTTATGAAAGCTTGCCCCTAAATCCCCATTACTGAAATCTAATCCTTGCCAGAAGTGTCGAGTTACACACCCCAACGTGGAATGCAGCAATGCATATCGGTACTATCCCGATTCATCTTTGATGGTCCACACGTTATAGAGTCTCATATGACTAGCTACACATATAAATTCAAAAATATCAACACATTTACTCAGCTTAATCTCTAAAAGCAATATGCCTTCTAAAGGTAGTAGTGTTCACATGATAAAACAGAATACTCCTGTTATTTCTACCTTTTAAAATTTTACAAACACTTCCAACTTTATTATCATACTTATTTCACATTAAAATTCATGGAAAATTTCAGCAGGCAAAATTATCATTTCTTGTAGTGGGCTTTAAAATGCTAATGTTGACACCTGAGCTAGGCTGTACACATACCTAGCAGAAAATCCTGACCTGTTCATACAGAAAAATTAATTTCTAAAGCAACGACATTTAAATTCTTACCTGACAATTTTCTAACGTTTATTAACATGATAGCAGAATGTTTAACTATGTTGTCCCAAAAATCAACTTAATAGTTGCTTTAACACATTTTATCTACATAAATGCCTTTAAAAATGTTATTCACCCAAACTTAAACATCTTTTTAAATGCTCTTGGAAAGGAGTCTTTTTTCCCCATCCACAACAGTATTTCAACTTACTGCAGGCACCAGCAGTTTCTTTACTTCTTCAATAGCTTTGGCCATCTTGACCTCTGCCCTCTGTCTGGCATCTTCCACTGTGATAAGTACATGTAATTCTTCATTTAAGTGTTCCCAGTTGGCTTTGCCTCTGTTTTGTTCTTCCTGAAACAATACAAATGAAAAAATCATTGATAAATGGAATGAATTTCTACACAAATGGATAAATACTTTAGAGCAAATTATTTAAGCGATGATAAATGACCACTTTCAGTTATGGTGAATGCTATGGTTAGCCAATGTATGATTCAAGAAGATATAACAGATTTAAGTGTCATTGTTTCATTAAAACAGGATGTGTTGAGTGTTCTATTTATTAAAATCTGTTTTTATTTGTGCCACTGGTGACGAGAACTTGACTGCTGAGATGCCAGGTTACTACAAGGACGACAGGCTATTAAGCACTTCTGTCATTTACCTTAATTACAGACTTGATTTGAAATCCTTTATAAGGTATTATGACATCAAAAGACCTAATGACAAATGACTAAAATGACATTTAATGCTAGTTGGTAGACAATAAAGTTTAATCATTATTTACTAGTATAAAAACCATTTACATGATACCTTCAAGTTTTAATACAGAACATAAATTACACCCAAGCATGACATTCACAACACCAAAGTAATTAGGTCATACACAACACTAATGATAGGCTGTCCTAGTAATTAACATCCACAATTTTTACTGCCGTATGAATTCGATGTGCTATAAACGAATGAAATAAATGAGAGAAATCTGGCATCAGCGTTACTGCACACTAACTAAGTCTATTACATGTATATATCAAATATATGCACTGGTGTTCTGGGCAGTGTGTTTCTGAAATTATCAATCATATTCTTTTAAACATTCATTTAAGCAATATGGACATCAGACAATGTAGTACAGCTTGAGATTGGATTGGTTCAATCCATCATATGTTTTAATTAAAGATCCTGGCCATTAGACTGACAGCATATTTTACATAAAAAGTTTATAGAACTGTCATCAACTTGCATAATTAAAACAGTTATAGATGACTAAACCTGGCAATGTCCAAAATTATTTTAAAATAAAGCTCCTTCTTAATCATCCATTTAAAAGCAAAACTCTTCAATCTGTTTTATCAGTATACATCTTAGATCTACAAATCCTAAATTTGAAAACAAAACTACACTAACAATCAGTTTTATGTTTTTTGTCAGTATACAAATGTACAAAATCTTGAAGTTAGTTAGATTACAGACTGCTGTTCCTTAACTTGCAGCTAAAACTCTTTGTCTCAGTATATACCTATCTATAAACCCTGGACTTAAAAAGTAGACTTAAAACTGCAATCTGTTTTTGATATCAGTATAGATGTACAAATCCTAAACTTCAGGTAGAACTCAAACTAAAATCTGTTTTTGATATATAAATACATATCTACTAAGGAATATATTTTTTGAAAGAATCTGGTTTTTATCAGAGTACACTCACTAAGGGTCATCTCTACCATTGGCTAGTCTCCAACAGATCTCATCACTAATACCTTTCCTTGTTAATGCCTCAACACAGGTCTCTCCATTTTACACAAAATTTGGATAGCATGACTGTTGTTAAGATAAGTAGTTCCCTGATCATAGTCCAAAGATAGAAATAATTGTATGTAAAATATATCAAATCCGTCTCTAAACAAGACAAGTCAATCAGATGTATAACACATGAAGGCAGTATAACCAGCACACACATGTACCAGCAGTGTTTATATATGATGTCAGATGAGTAAAGGGATATGCCCTACAGTATCACCACATTGTCATATTACCTCCAACAATGGTAAGTATGTGTGATGATTTGACCCCCTCATATCTTCACTAATCATGACCAGTCTTGAGTACATGCATGTCTACATCCTAATCACAACCAACACTCACAACCCAATCCCTCTATCCTAAACAACAGTTGAAGCCTGCTATCCATTTGTCTAAAATTTCTACTTTCCCATTTGTCGAATTTTACTGCCTCTAATACATTTCTCCTATGGTTCTCATTTCTAACCCTATGAAATTTTCCCTCTGTTCTGCATTTATGAAGCAGCTGCTGTAGCGAGAAGTTCCAGAACACATGGAACACTTCAACAAGTTTAACAAAAGTATGATCGTGTTAAATATATGTATGCTTTATGTCTTCCTCCATAGCTAATCTGTTATAAGATAGGTTATCATACTGCCTCTGTAACTTGAAGTAACCAACCTAGGGGCTTTCACCGACTAACAGCTGCTTTGTATATATGTATTATGCAGTCACCAACTCTATAATGTTTCAGGCCAGAAATAACTGTACATATTCCTATAAATAGTTTTTTCTACAATACAAGAGTTCCAGTGATTACTGCCTTACAGCAATATTGTCTTCCTTAAACAAGAGTGTGTTGTGGATGAAAGTCTTTACATGTAACATAATTCAGGAGATTCAATTCAGGATTTTTTAAAGAAATCAATGGACACAAGATTTGAGAAAGGATTAAACAATGGATGCTGTATAGGTTTGAAGGGTTTGGGTAGAATACCCCACCCACCCACCCCGGTATTATGTATACCATGAACAAAACATGTCTCTTTTCCCCCACTGATTGTTCATATGTTGAGGAGACTGCAGTTTTTAGAGAATATTTTTTTGATACATCTTTGTTGGGATACATTCCACAACATATCCTGTCATGGTCGGGGACAGTAGTGAGTCTGTCCTAACTCCTATTGAGTCCTCTTGTTGTGCGTCATGCACCTGACTTCCTTTGTGACTGAGTGTTATCCTTTGTACATTAAGTGTGGAGCACTACTTGTTGTACCTCCTCACAGCATTTATGTGGTATTCTACTAATTTTTATTGTTCTGTAGTCAATTGTTTTACAGCCTACAGTGAAGATGAAAAGCCTATTACATCTCACACAGAATGTCGCAGATTTATTTTATTTTCATAAGCATCAACTAAAAATCTACATTAGAAGAAAAAAAACATTTTAAAAAATATGCGAATAATAAATAATGCACATATGCATACAGCTGTTTAAGTTGCCCAATTTCCTACACAAGACAGAAAGGGTTAGCAGCTGAGATACCTTGTGATTTGTTTCTCATTAAATGTAACCCTGACCTGCAGGTACAGGAACCATTACTTGTACCAACACAATCAATGGCATGGAGCATGACCAACTCCTCACCAATATGCTTCCAATTTTTGTGTAATTATGTTTGTTTTATTATCGGTGCCTTACTTTCTACTATGTGTAGTTGCCTTATAGAAGTGGATGGGGACCAGATGGCCAGGAATGGGATCCTATACAGACTTGAAGTCAGTGTTGGTAGGTCTGACATGCTCTCATCACAATTTACAACTCTTGTTACTACTGTCAATTATAGGGAAATACCTGTTTAAATCTGGAAAGTACAATACCATTACAGACAGTTTTCAAAAACTTATCTCACAAAGTTTTTTAAATGTATAATAACATCCCGTTTCTATGACAGACTGGTTGCCCTGGTGATAATTTACCTTCTTTTTGTCCCGCATTGATCCCTTTCCTCGGACCATTATTTTGCAACCTGTGAACTGTTCCAGTTCTTTAGCTGTCATCCCCCTTGGTCCCAATATTCTCCCCACAAAGTTGAACTGGAAAAAGATCAGAAAAGATTATGTTATCATCAATCAAATAAAATCTTGACAATAGGACAAATACAATGTCAGTCAAATCAATTTTACGAATGCTTTCTTTAAAAATCTAAGTTGAAATGTTTTATTTCGGACATTAGTACTCATTCTATCTATATTTTGTTTTCTAGACAATCCCTGGAAGGATGCCAGGTATTTATATTAGTACTAGGACAGTCTGAAACAATACACCCATTTAACATACTGTTTACCCTCTTTCATCACATACCAGAACACAAATTAATTGTGTTTATGAAGATGCAAAACAATCAAAATTGATATACACAAGAACACATCTAAATTTGATCTTAACCAGCTGACAGAACCATGGAAGTGTTAACTATATAATACATATGATGGCAATCTTATATCTCACAAAATGTCTTGTGTTAAATTATTTTCAAAAATGCATTAATAGTGTATATCAAGTAAAAATATTGAGACTGGTAGCTTGTGCAATATGGAGGTAAATGAATGTCTGACATCAGAATCATCAACACCTATACAATATTGGTCTAGTACAAGTGCAACATGGTGGCCGTGTGCAATGTGAAACAATCTAAGATTTATTCTTTTACCATAAATTTAAAAAAAAAACCAAAAAAAACATTCCAGCCAAAAGAGAAGAAAGCTGCTTGATATTTGTCTGTCTACACATCTACTGATTCATCAAGCTATAATGAGGCCACAGTGATAACTTAAACTCGCCCACCTGTGCATCAAACTCATCTGGTCAAAGAATTTTATACCATTGAATGTAAAAACAAATGTTGTGCTGAGATGCATTGCAACACTTGAAACCATTAGCAAATGTTGCTGACTAGTTACCAAGACAGTGTCACACGTAAACCTTAGCTGTTTTCAAAATAAAAGAATTTTCTTTTTAAACTTGGAGTTTTAAAGAACTTTATCCTCCCAAGTTTTAGTGATCCAGTCCTAGCAATGCTGATAAAACTGTCATGATGCAGCTGAAGGTCCATTCATTAACCAGAGAGGGTTTCCCTCTCTCCTATAATATACTCACATCTGGGTGTTCTTTGACGGGGACATATAATTTTTCTGAGAGTGTAACAGTGGGTCCCTGTACTTCAGGTAGTGGGAGGGGATCTCGATTGCTTCCTTTGTGGTGAAATAACTGTAATCGTACTCTGTTGATTTCTGAAAATACATAATCATCAAAACTCACATAAAATTTGAATTTAAGCCTAACAGTGAATAATCTCTTACCTTCACTCTTCCTCACATTCAGATATTTCATTTTCTCGAATTCATCGAGATTACACTCTATTTTTCTCACATTCACCAAGGTTACACCCTACTTTTCTCACATTCACCAAGATTACACTCTATTTTTCTTATATTCACCAAGGTTACACCCTATTTTTCTTATATTCACCAAGGTTACACCCTGATTTTCTTACATTCACCAAGATTACACCCTATTTTTCTTATATTCACAAAGATTACACCCTGATTTTCTTACATTCACAAAGATTACACCCTACCTTTATATTCACCAAGATTACACCCTATTTTTCTTATATTCACCAAGGTTACACCCTGATTTTCTTACATTCACCAAGATTACACCCTATTTTTTTTATATTCACCAAGATTACACCCTAATTTTATTGGATTCACCAAGGTTGCTTCCATACCATTTATCACATTCATTATTCTAAGAACATGGAAATTAAAATGTGCTACAAATTTGTCTTGGTCAAAACTGAAAACTAGTATATAAACAATACATTCTGTTACATCAACTACCCTCTCAGGAATGGAGGCCCGAACTTGAAACGACATGAATCCATGTTTACAATGTCACTTTAATTACAATAAGTTCATTATTTCACAGCAATTTAAAGCTAATTAATCATTAACTTAGTAATCTAAATAAGGGATGCATTTAGTTGATTTTAAAAGTTAATATTTTTTATATTAATTTTAAGTATTTTAATTTTCCTTGGTTATAATAAAGCATTAATGTTATTGTCCTTCGGTCCTCTTTTTTTTTTAAATAAAGAAATTGAACAAATGATATAATATACAAATTTATCACAGCACAGTTGTATATCTACTAACCTTACACAATTCTAGCTAAACATCAATAAACATGAGCTAACATTATTCATGATCATTTTGACTTCATGACTGTGAAAAATGGCCAGGTTTATGGTGTATGTTATCGGGAGGACCAGCTCCATATTACATTTAGTTCTACATGTATCACTGTCAAACAAGTTGACTAAGTGCATTATTATATATCTGTCAAATAAAAAGCTTGCGGTGGTAGACTTGAAATAAGAAAACCATGCAGTAATTGAATTTGCCATTGTATAAATCTTATTCTGTACAATACACATATATTTAATTATACTGTATTTTGTGAATTACAATATGACATATACACATGATTGAATATATAAGTTCAGTGGGATGTACAGGGTTGGACAATCAAAGTCATTAGACATTATCTCAATTTAAGGTTACAACAATGATCATGTTATTTGATATCAAATACAAACTACACCATCAAATCATGGACACATTTAAATGAAGTTTTATAAATGTCTATTGTCAACTAATCTATTTTTATAACAAAGGGTTAATTTTGCAATTTTAGTACATTTGATCATTCATTTGAATATGATAAATAAGACTTCCTTTTTATACTGTTGCCCAGAAGCTATACCATGAGAACTACCAATACTAGGTAATAGGAATTAATATTTAAACCTCTACATCTTCTACTACAATCATTAATGAATTAAAATAATATCAAGTTGACATTATATTTGGGACGTAAATCCATTTGTAAATACTGTTTTATTGCAAATACTTCTTTTACTAATCTTGGAAGGTTTGTTTCTAGTTGACTTAATTAGATTTCTATACAATGTTCATGACCTAATTAAGCCTCAAAAAATAACATCTGACCTTGTCTGATGTCTATTAGGTGGAGGTCAGTCATTTCTTCATGGACAAGCTGAAGGTTAGTATGACCTCTACTTAACTTTGTGCTTGTGAACAGGCATAAGGTCAGATTATACCATATGGCCCTTGGCTGTGAATGGTTGGCCATTTTACTGTATACATGACACTGGCCAGAACCCCAGTACACTAACACTATCCTCCTGTTATTTTGACCATGGAAAAGGGGCAGCATGATTTGGTTTACATCACAAGTGACCATATTAAATGACTTTCAGTCTGGCAGCTTAAGTGAACAACCCAATATTCCTTGTGGGACATGTTTTGTGTGATCAATTTTCCTCAAACCAGCATCCTCCTGACATTAATTTGGTGTAAAACCCCCTACAGGTAGAATCTGCATGGTTTTATTTTATAGCTATATCTTGTCTTGGAATGATTGATGAACTGAGAGCTAGCATATATATTAAGTCATCCGGAGTTCACGCAGGGCAAAAATGACATAAATTACGGTTGCATAGTTTTTCATTATTTGTGTGTATATACTACATGTATCAGTCTGTATACATGGGATTTCTACAGAAAAGAGCTTTACCTCTTACAAATGTTATCACAACGTTACATGTGTATTCACACATTCCCCAAGTTCCTGTCCCCATCTTTAAGGCTTAAGAAACTATAACACATCAACCATCACCTACTCAGAGGGTCAACAACTCAAAAGCTTTGTCACTTTACATCGTATGCCAATTGGAGAAAATTACACTACTGTACCAAGCAGATTATAAATACGAGGTGATAATATTACCTAGTTATCTGGATAAGACTCGAGCCTCAAATAAAATGAATTCAGAAGGAATGCTCGACTTGAAAAATGATCATGCTTATCAAATATACTATATCAACTTGGATTGAGTTTTCAAACCATCACAATTCACAGACGGTATTCAGTGTAAGATAATATTTCACATCAGCATACAACAACAACAAATCCCTTTCACAAGACGTGGGTGTGTCTGAATAGGAGTGTTTCTTGTGTTTATGTCCTTCTAAAAATCTTTCAGAAAACAAATCTATGAACAAAAAATGACAAAATCTTCCAATCTCGACTATGTACAATGATAACTAGCAATTTTGAACTGTACACTGATATATAAGCACAGATATTGTCAATTCTGAAAAAAATTCCTGGACCACTGGACATCTAATACATACCATGTTTCCACATTCAATACCATGACTATTTCCAAATGACAGATATGTCAACTTTCAAAACTTTCTCACATCTTAACCTATCTTATATTTCTTAATCAATTGCCCTTTCCTTTTTGAAGAAAAACAAAAACAAAAAATTAAAATATCTTCAATAATGTTTTAAGACAAGAATCAATGAAGACTTAAGAATTATTCTGGACTTACCTCCAGTTAAACAGAGGGGAAATAGTAGGGGCTTTATATAGTCATCATTATGTTGTAATAACATGCCATCACCACTGAATCAAGACATAATGCTTCAAACAGATAACTTCAAATTGCAGTAAAATTGCCAAGAAATAATACCTTTCAAACACCAGTTTAAACACTTAGCACAAATAATCTGCAGTTAATTTACAAACAAAAATAAAATTAGGGTCACCTTGTATTTCGATCATTATCTTTGATATTTGTAGAAAAAGTGTAAGCAGTATGTAATTATCAGAATCCTTTGCCTGGTGACCATCCTCCAATTAGCACAGGGCATGGTGAGATGGAATGGCCTGGCCTGCTCATTAGTGCCGCTTGACTGGCTGCAGACAGAATGGGAAAGCTGATGTTGGCACACATAATGATGTTTACAGACCAAGTTTTCCATATGATGTACATCATGCCTAAAAGATCAGACATGCATGCCTACAACGTTGGCTTCTGTTGTATGTTAAAAGGACAGGACAGTGTTTATTGGTGCCAACTTCTGCAACCAAAGCTTTGTTCCTATGTAAGGAATTGCCACAAACAACAAAATAACACCATGTTATGAGCAAAAGGAAGACAGAATTAACCTTGGACATATAGTATGTGTCCAACCAGGGCTCTCACACCCCCATTTGAGACTGGGGCCTGGGGCTCGGGTCTAAATTGGGAAAAAAAAGATATTATTTTGCATCGGGAATTCGGCCCCAAATCTGGCAGATCGAGAGCCCTGACAACTAACACCAAAGTGGTCTGAATCCACCCCCAAACCTCAAAAATGTCTTAAAAGAGCAATTAAAAATCAACCACTCCAATTAAAACAAACTCATCTTCCATTAACTATAATACCGTGTATCCATCGGTGCCTTGACAATTTCATTTTACTTAAAGAAGGTGGCACCACCACAGCTTCCAAAAACATCTTACTTCATTTCAATTGGTTTCAAATCTGTCTCATAAAAACCCTAATTCGCAAATTACAAATTAAGATGACTTGTGCAAGTTAAAGCAAAATACATTTTATCGAATTTTCTTTTTTCATTTTTTTTTTTTGTGTGTACATGTGTTATTACTGTATTTAAGTCAGATACACAATGCAAAATAATATTTGAATTGTAAATGAAAATGGAAGATACCTTAATTATAAGTTTTCCTGATTACTACATAATCTATGGTTGCCTTGACATTACTGAAATTTCTTAATATTAAGTTGTGGAGTTCTGTATTTATTTAAACCAGGAACTGGATTACTACCTACAGAATATACGGTATATCATGTGTAGTCCTGCGGTAACATGATTGTGTTCATAATAGGATTATTAATTGCTCATGTTAACTCGGTCACAGGAACATTCACAAACAGAAACAATGGCTCTAAAAGCAGCTTACTGCCTTGTCACGATTTGACAACCGCTTATTTCTCAACTCCCAATCAAAACCACCTACAAAGTTTTGATATAATGACAAGTCTTATAAAAATAACAATGTGAGAATCTAGGAATCAGCTTGGCACAAAAAAAAAATGTGACTATTCTAAATAGCTGTATGGCAATCTGATTGTAGAAACATACCCTGTACACATGAGCGAGAAAACTGAATGACAGAATAAAACACATTTAGAGTTTGTGATGCTAATCTAGGATGAACAGTTGCCAGCAATTAGATTAAGTCCGTAAGCATTCCCTCTGGCATCAAACTTAGCATACACGAATAGATAAAACCCTGTATCTGTTAGGATAAAAGTTCCGTGACAATAGCTACACACTGCACCCTGT